ACCACAATCAAATTAATTAACCAATCTATCACACCTCATAGGTACCTTTTTTTTGTAATAAAAACATTTAAGATCTATTTCCTTAGCATATTTTAAGTACACAATATACTATTACTAACTACAATCACTAGGCTGCACATCAGAACTCTAGAACTTATTCATCTTGCATAACTGGAGCTCTGTACCCTTTGACCAACATCCCATTTTCCCCACCTCTTCCCTATCCTTGGTAACTACCATTCTAGTCTCTACTTCTGAGTTTGACTTTTCCAGATCCCACATGTAAGTGAGATCATACAGTGTTCATCCTTCTGTGCCCGGCTTATTTGACTTAGCATAATGTCCTGCAGGCATACCTATGTTATTGCAAATAACAGGATTTACTTTTTTTGAGACTGAATAGTATTCAACTGTGTACACACACACACACACACCCCACCCCTCTGTATCCATGAGTTCCACACCCACAGATTCAACCAATCATGGATTGAAAATACTTTGGGGGAAAAAAAGCAATAAAAAATAATACAAATATATAAAACAATACAGTCTAACAACTATAGAATATTAGAAAAACTTCCATTCTCCTTTTAAGCTGACCTCAGAGCACTCTAGAGTCAGACACAAGATACTAAAACCTTTATCGTTCTATTTATTTAGGTAGGATACACCAACTAACGTTATTTAGTATTTTAATTACAAAATGGTTACATGTTCACATTAATCTACACATACCCTTTGTGATGGGTTTTAAACATGGCCCCCAAATTCTTTGACTGTCCTCCCATCAAGAGGTGGGGTCTTTGTTCCCTCCTCTTGAATTTGGGTAAACTTTAATGATCCAGTGGAAGTGACACTAGATAACTTCAAGGCTATGCAGAAAGGCCATGCAGGTTCTGTATGGTGTTCCTGGGATGCTCATTGGAAAAAGTCAGCCACCATGCAAGAAGTTCAACCACCCTGAGACTGCCATGTTGGAGAGGCGACCTGCAGGCATTCCAGTTGACAACTAAGGTGAGCTCCCAGCTGACAGGTAGCATCAACAGCCAGCCATGAGAACCATCTCAGACACCAATCCAGTTGAGCAAAACAATGTGCCCTCTAACTTAGTAATGCTAATTGAGATTTGGAAAAGGGCTAAAAAAGGAAGATTTCTATCTTGGGAGCACCATGTTTACATCTTAAAACATGACAGACGGTTATCCTATTATCTTATACACTCCAATTTATTTATAAGTGCTGCTGATCTCTAACCCCGTTAAATGTCCATGAGAATCCACATATATTAATAAACTCCTCAGATGATTCTCATGCAACCAGCCCAGCATGGGCCTTAACATTGGAGTTGAGGAAACAAGAGCATATGAAGAACATGGGCTTTGAAGTTAAACAGACCTATACTCAAAACATATCTTAATCACTGCAAGAATGCTGGTCAGAACTCACTCCATCCTCATGGCCTTCAGAGCTATGGCTTCAGTAGTTACAATTTTTCCCTTGCACAAGTCGCTTAGCAACTGAGGGAGGACAGGAACAGAACACTATGCTTGTAAGATAAGGACAGTGACACCAGCAACCCCAAAACTAAGTAACAGGAGGCTGTAGAGCACCTGGGAATCTTGCACTTCTGCAGCCTTTTTCTCTCCGGCATACCTCCACTTTTGCCTCTAAGTCCCTTAAAGCCTCAACAATCCCACTACCCCTCAAGTGCAGAGAAAGCAGCTGCCCGATCCCTGTAAGTAACCACCCACCAATAATAACAATACTGATAATAAACTCCTGTAAAACATATGGCATTGTCTGCTTCATTCATTGCTCTCAGGATACCTTTCAGTTTGGTGGATATTATACTGTTTGGTCACACTCCGACAATCCGATCCCTGTAAGTAACCACCCACCAATAATAACAATACTGATAATAAACTCCTGTAAAACATATGGCATTGTCTGCTTCATTCGTTGCTCTCAGGATACCTTTCAGTTTGGTGGATATTATACTGTTTGGTCACACTCCGACAATCACTTTCTAGCTATGTGCCCTCAAATCAGTCATTAACCTCTTTGAATTTGTTTCCCTAGCAATAAAATGGGAGTTGTTTTACAACTAGAGATAATATTCATGAAGTGCTTAAATGCTAGGCACTAAGTAAACAGTAACTATTGATTAGTAATTTAATAGGTCAAATTTCAATACCATATCCTTTGAACTAAACCAAAATGATAATCAGGAGTATCATAAGTCTTATAAGGCCTATCATCAGTTTATCTTGATCATTTTGTGTATTTCACTAAATGCCCAAATCTTGGCATGGTTTGGTCATGGCACTATTTGTGCCCAAGTCTGTACTAAAAACTCACATTCTTTGAATTCCTAGAACATCATCATTGCAGTAGTTCCTACTACCGCATTGTCTGTTGAATTTCTACTAAGCCATTCCTCAGTAACATTGCACTTGGTCTTTTATATTCGGGCTAATTCATTAGTTGGGAGTTTTGCTGTGCTTTGCAAAATCCCATATGATAGCATTTACTCCTAAAGACTAAGATCGCCTCTATTTAAACAAGTACAGTCAAGGGGAAATTCAATTATTTTCTTCTTCCTTTAACTTTTCCTCAGATTTTGCTTTCTCAAAGGTGGCCTACACTGCATGCTCTTCAATATAAAAATAGGCCTTGTAAAGGCCTTTGAATCATTCAAAATTTGGAGGCAACGTCTGCCATGGGCCACTAGAAACAGCCATCTCTTCTTTCTGGTCAAGTACCTCCTGAGACATGGTGCGATGCTTCTCCTGAAGGAGGTCTGTCAATTCCTGTAGCCTCATATTCTCTTGCGCAAGGAAGGAGTTCAGCTCCTGCACTGCTTCCTCCACTATCAGATTATCTGAGGAAGAAGAACTGTACTTTTAGTTTAGCATCTATAGTGTCAAATTTTAAAACTGTGTATCCCACCAAAGCATTTACAAGCTATCTCATTTCGTTCTCCTCAGACCTTCAAGAAGTAGGCTGGCTTATATTATCTCATGTGACAAAATGCCCAGGGGTTAGGTAACTTGCTTAAGGAAATGGGTCAATTTGGAGCCTAGGTCACCTAACTCCCATCCCTTTCTATAAAGCCAAAATGCCTTGAGAAAAGAAATGGGGATTCTGTAACTTTATTCATATAAGACACAACCCCCCCAAACAAACTGCATTTTAGAACTGAAGACAAGATAGAGGTATCTGGAATCACTGTCAGACATCATAGCAATACTTCTATTTTGTAAGGCTATAACAAATTCCTATTGTTAACTAACACCAACATGAAACTTCTCTCTGTTAAGGGAGAGAAAGGGAGCAACAAGCAGAAATTTCCATCTTCTACTAAGCATCTATAAAATCATGAAGAACAAAGGTAAGAGCATAAAATCACTTATATTCTGGAATACTATGCTAGGGGCAGTCTGAAATTTCAAAAACAAAATGTGTACTACTATAAACAAAGCAGGTAGGTAAATCTATAAATTTACGATACCAAGTTAATACATTTAAAATTAGAGTCACAAACACTATATAGCTCAAATCCGAATGTTATTAAATGAAACCAGGTACTTTCAGGATATATGTAACCCTTTTTAGAGAGTTAACAGGAAGAAAAATTGTGCTCTCTCATACTACCTCTTGTTATCACTCTTAGAAACTATACAGAATACGTTGGTCATGTGGTAGTTTCCATGGTTTTCAGACAGGATCACCCATTAGTTTCACTTGTGGAACTTTTAAAACAGACATTTCCCTGGGACCCATTCCACACCTACTGAATAAGTATCTCCTTGGGAAGGCCATAAAAAGAGTATGCTCACTCCTAGGTGATTCTGATTCATAACATGAATTAAGAACCAGGGACTGAATTTTAGTCTCCTCAATATCCTAAATACTGAGGATAGGGCCTAGAATACAATAAAACCTCAATAAACATTTAGTGAGTTAATAAACAAGCCCGTAAATGCAATGCTTTTACATCAAGGACCAATCCTACATGGGGAAAAAAATGAACTTCCAAAAAAGTTATAGTTGTTGCTATAATTCATACTTAATACATCTTTATCTCTTAGAAAGTTCAGCTTATCAATGGCAATTACCTTTTGTGTTAGAAATAATAATTTAGCTACTTGTAATTTGTAATAAATGTTTTAATTTTTTTTAACTTAAACCTGATATTAAGATGCATGCCATCAAAAAGAATACATTTAAAGTACTGTTTAACATACTACTCATTTTAGTTCCTTTTTTAATATAGCAATTATTTCACTTGATAGTCATTTATAAAAGCTAGTTTAACATTAACACAGTCTTTGCATATACCATATTATCGGCATTACTAGGACTTCACAATACCTTTTAACTATTCAATTACAGCCAAGGGAGAAAGAAGTAACATGCAGCTTGTTTTATATTAGGTGACAGGGAGGACTCGTATCCATTCATTCTCCACCAACTAAGCACCTATTAGATATCAGATGCAGTGCTAGAAACTGAAGAAACAAAGAAGAGAGAGGCAAGGCACTGCACCAAGAAACAGAATTTAGGGGGAACACACAAGTAGATGTAGTACATGAATATAAAAGTCTGGGAGGACACAAACCACATTGTTTACAATAGTTATCTTTGAGAAGTGAAATGGGAAGACTTTTATAGTCTATTTTTATGTATTTCTGATTTGTATATTTAACGACATATATGTTACCCTAATAATAAAATACAGAAATATACATAGTAACGGAAAAGCAAAAGAAATCCTTGCCTACCAAATTTTCACATGCTGCTTTTTAATTCTGTTGATAATTTAGCCCAAGCATCTTTAAAAAAACAAAATAACAGAATAACACAATTCTTACTTGCCCACACAATAGTTCAACCTCCATTATATACGATTTATTTCTTTCAGAAATGAAAAGTTAAACATCTTAATGATAATCAAGGAAATTAAGATACTATAACAAGACATGATTATTTTTGAAAACATGATATTGAGGCATTTATTTGCATTATGAGCAAGAGATTTATGTCACAAATGACTACAGCTGTACAAATATAAATTTCTACACTAACACTGAATAACACAATTGTTCCAAATAATTTTATTTCAAATAGACACTTTTTCACCAATATAGTATTTTCCATTTTGTAGTTTTAAACACAGAGATCATCTGATAACTCTAAAACCTGAGCCAACTCTCCTTAAAAACATTAGAGATAACAGAAAAACAAAAAAACAAGAATATATTAAAAACTGACTCTTTGAAGTCAATATTCAATATGTGATTAAAGGAGTTCTTTTGGTTTTTGGGGGGTTTTTTTGGCAGCTGGCCAGTATCAGGATCTGAACCCTTGACTTTGGTGTTATAACACTGACTCTAGCCAATTGAGCTAACTAGCCAGCCAAAGAAAGGAGATTTTTTATTTATTTATTTTTTTATTTTTTTAAAAGATGACCGGTAATGGGATCTTAACCCCTGACTTGGTGTTGTCAGCACCACGCTCTCCAAAGTGAGCTAACCGGCCATCCCTATATAGGGATCCGAACCCAAGGCCTTGGTGTTATCAGCACCACACTCTCCCAAGTGAGCCACAGGCCGGCCCTAGAAAGGAGATTTTTTTTTAAAAAACTGGCAATAATTTATTATCATTAATAAACCAATAGCCTATATATTAGTAGCCTATATACACAAATGTTCAAATTTTTAAAAAACTGGCAATAAAGTATTTATTATCATTAATAAACCAATAGCCTATATATTAGTAGCCTATATACACAAATGTTCAAAAATCATAGCTATTTACTAAATAGTAAAAATTAATTCTGCTACTTACAAAAGTGACTAATTAACAGAGTATTACAATAGGGTTGATAAAATCTTTCCTCAGCTTTTTAAAGGACTATCACATGGCTCCAAATGTGAAGCATTCGTACAATGCTAATATGCCATAGTAATGACATTACTGGTAATGGTGAAGATTAGGATTACAAGGAATTTAATTAAAATCAAATATGTAAGTTTGCAAACTACAAATTGGCGTGCGAAGGTGAGTTCTTATTCTTTCCCCACCGTTCCCTATTTCCAGGTTCTTGCCTCACCTCCACTGTTTAGCTTCCGGGATAAGAGCTCCACTTTTTCTTGCAATTTATCATAGACAGTGACAATCTGGGACACAGCTCGGCGGGAGGACTCCACACGCTCCTGCAGCTGAGATTCCATCTCTTCACTGGAACTGCTGGCCAAAGTAGCAAGGAAAGAGAAAGCTGGCTCCTGCCCTTCCCCTGAGGATAGAGGGGGGAAAAAAAAGAAGCCCCCCCAAAAATTACAAAACTGGCAATATCAGTATCCATTTTTTTCCTCAAATGGAGAGCCTCAAAGCAAAGCTCTACCTAAAAACCCCAGATGACATGTAGTGATACTCGCCTCTCTCTCGGTCATCTTTCCTTTCCTGATTGCTATCAGAGTCTGGTTCTGGTTCAGGCACAACAAGGGCTTTTCTTTCTGTGAGTAGGTCTCCCAAACCCTGCTCCAGATCGTAACGTTTAAGGATGATACGTATGTTTTCATCAAACTGGAGAAAGGTAGGTACAATTATGAAAAAACAAAAGGGCACATCTCTGGAAATGAAGAATACCAAAGAGAACTGAATTGCTCAGATAAAAATCTGAGCAAATAAATAAGTTAGCTACCTGACTCCAATACCGGTTGACAATCAATAGTGAAGCATCATCAGTGGCCTGTCGTCGTTCCAGTTTTTCAATGTGCTCACGGAGTTCATCTTCAATGGCCTGCCGTTGATCCAGCATTTCTGCCAGCTTGCGATTTTTGGTTTGCAGTGTTCGAATGTCTAACTCTTCCTGCCCCAGGAAACCAATCTTATTAGTCTCCACAAAGAAATTAGACAAATGAGCTGTTAAAATTCAATGAGCTCACATTAGTCCATTAGTTGTTTCCTATGAATAAAGCTAGTCATTAAAAAAAAATCTTATAACAAATAATTAGATAAAGAGTTGAAGCAGAACAGATAAATTGAGGAACGGATGTATGATGATGTGAGAAAAGAATGACACATAAATAGACTAGAACCTCAACCTCACCCATCTCACTGTTCTAGTCACATGTACGTCCACAAAGTAATACTACTTTGAGGTTCTATTCCAATCAACACTGTCATCTATCTCCTAAATAGTGACCTTCATTCATTCAAGACTTTGGCACCTGGGTCCTTCTCTATCCCAGTCCCTGCCAATATATCTGGTGACTTCAATATACAAGTACATGTGGACAAACTGTCTAATCCTCTAGCATCTAGGCTGTCAGCATTTTGAATTCTTTAACTCTAATGATTATCTCCTCCACTGTGCTTCAGCCATGCATGAACTGTGCCACATTTGAAGTCTTAAATTCCAACGTCTTCCCGTTCCCTGAATAAAACAACATCTTTCCAGGTATCGCATGCCCTTACCCCAATATACCAGTTCTTTCACCTCATTTAGATCTCCAGAATTTTGAATTCTCTCCTTTCTCCCTTTCAATCCCCTTGTCTCCACTACCTTCCATATATTGATTGTATCCTATAATATATTCCTTCAAATACCTGCCTATCAGCCTCCTCAATTCTCTGTCCTTAATCCTACCTCTGTGAACAAACTCCAATCTGAATTAATCCAGATATCTGACTATTCCATTCTTATACCCAGTATGCTGACACTTCTGGGTAATGTCATTAAATCAGGGAGACTGGTGCGTTTACAAAATGAATTCCTAACCTGAACAAATCCTATCATTTGTCCTTTAACGAGTAGGTTATCACCTATTCTCCACTGAGGCAATATCAAACTCCATCAAGCCCTGCCCTCTTTCATATCATATTAAGCAGGTGGCTTTACTTCCTATTTCAACAAGAAAATAAAAGCCAAAACATAAGAAGCTCCTCAATTCCCCATCTCCTTGATCCATTCATGCAAGTCACCAACCTATCCACATATTTTTAAAACGTTGACTTGTGCTCAGGATCCCATTCTCTTCTGTTTCTGCAAAAACCTCACTCCATCAGTAACTCCACATCCCTCTCAGTATCTTTAATCTCTCTTTCTAGCTCCTTCCCTAAGACAAGCTGGAGAGGGGCTGGATGGAATATCGCAGGAATTACCTAGGAATTAATGAAATGAATATTTTAAAGAACTGTTTATCAGAGCAGAAATTTCTGGTTTTACTTTTATTTTTTCTCTTCCACTTTGGTTAAAACATTCCTGATATGCTAAAGTAGTTAACAGTTTCCCCACGGTACCAGTTGATTAAAACTATTAATAAACTACATCCACAACCTCTTCTCCGAACACTGCCTTTCCATTCTCACTTTAACTGAAATCTGGGTAAGAACACCGTTTCCCTATAGGCTTCTCCAGTGTTGCCCGTTTCCCTTCCACACTCCCAGAAGCCCTAGGCCTGGAGGCAGAAGGATGTCCTCGTTTTCCATTGCCACTTCCAAGCCATAATCCCACCTTCCTCCCTAAAACCTCCCAGCTTGCAGCTCATACACTACCTACCACCCTGCTTTGTGGAACTCATCTATAAATGCCCAGGTTATTTCCTCACATTTTTGGAAGATTTAGCACCTGGCTTTTTATCATTCCCCCCAATACTACTCCTGTCATAATTTGTAATGATTTCAATTCCTTATAGATGATATTTCCTGTACCTTGGATCAGCAAGTCATTGACCTCCTCTACACCAATGATCTTGCCCTCTACCTCTCTCACTCACCAACTCCCACAGTTATTCTTAGTCTCAGTCTTAACTGTACCTGCATGTCCTCTATAAGTTCAATGCCAAACACCCCATTCTCTACATCTACCATGTATTTTTCCAGCTCACTCCCTCCAGTTTCCTGGCTCCAGCAATTCTTCAACCTCTCCAGGATCTACAGTCCACTGGTCCTATACCTTTCCCTGTCCTTCACTCCTCTCACTTCCTCACTTCCTTCTTTACTGAACTTAAATTCCATGATCAATCATTATAATCACTCCCTTTTATATACCTTCTTCTCCTTCCTTGCTCCTTTATCATACATGTCTGGTAAAAATCCCAATCCTGGTAACAGCCAACTCTCCACCTACTCCAAGCCTAGACCCATGCAACTAAATGTGACTAGAAAAAAATAAAGCACCATGCCAGTCAGTTTCCCTTTAAATTCATGACTGCAAATTCACACAGACCTTCAGTGCTGCCCAGCAACCCTACCACATTTCTCTAATCCATCCTCTCTTCAAGATGACTACTTCATACCTTCTCTTGTCTCTTCTAAACTTCCAAACCTCCAAAACTTCCTCCCCAATCCTCACTCTCATATAAGTCTTGCTTCTGATTTCACTGGAAAAAAATAGAAGCAATCAGAAGAGAACACCCACAACTCCCTCCCATAACCACGGCTATACAATCCACCTACCTACATCTAAAATCATATCTCCTGCCTTCCTTCTTGTTGCTATGGATAAACTGTCCTTGCTCCTAGTTAAGGCCAATTCCTCCACTTGTGCATTACATTACATTCCCTCTCACCTATTCAAGGACATCACACCTATAACTGTCCCCTCTTTCTACTATATCATCAATTTTATCCTCTCTACCAAATCATTTCATTCAACAGCTAAACATGCTGTAATATCTCCTACCTTAAAAAACAAACAAACAAAAACCCCACATTTCCCCATGGGTACTGCCCCATTTTCTTTGTTCTACTTTACAGCAATACTCCTCCAAAGTATTGTCTTTATCCTCTTTTCCTTTCCTCTCCTCTCATATTCTCTTAAGCTTAATGCAATCAGGCTTCCATCCCCCCACTCCTCCAACATAGGTCTTGTCAAACCTCCAAAGAACTCTCTTTTGCTAAATGTAAGTCCTTCCCTTACTCAATGCAACTGCAGCCCCTGATCAACTCCTTGAAACACTTTCTTCATTTGGCTTCTGGGACCCCACTCTCTCTCATTATCCTGCTATCTCTTAGTCCCTCTTTATCTTTTTGATTAGTCCCTTCTCATCTCCTTGACAGGGAAATGTTACAGTGCCCAGGACTCTGTCCTCAGACCTCTTCTTTATCTATGCTTTTTCCTTAAAAGAGTGTCTCCAGTCTGGATTAAATGGATTTAAACATCTATAAAATGATGATTACCAAATGTATAGCTTTAGCCCAGACCTTTCTCCAGAGTCCAGGCTACTATCGCAACTACCTAACCATTCAGAGGCCTAATAAATATCTCAAACTTACATGTCCAAAACCAAATCCCACTCATGATTCACCCTTTACAGCTCCCACATCTGCTCCTCTCAAACTCCTCCCTAGCTCAGTAAGTGGAAACTCCGTTACTTCCAAACTCCTGGGATGATCCTCCCTATCTCTCACATGCTTCATCCAATCCATCAGCAAATCTTGTCAACACTACCTCCACAGTGGTCCAAGCTACCATGATCCCTCATTAGGATTACTGCAAAGGCCTTCTGTAGCAAACACTTTTGTGTCATGTCCTGTCAGCCTGCCAGATTTCAGCACAGCAGTGATGGACAGCTCCATTCACACTGCCAGTGTTCCCACAAGCACATTTTGGAGTCTTTTAGTTTTTCTGTCCCACAATCTCAGCTGGCTCACTACAGCAACATCAAAATGCACAGGAGGAGTTATTGTCTTCAAGGGCAACTTCAATCAATTAGGGCAGGAATCAGTGGATACGTCAGATCCCACCTTTAAAGAGGTGGAGTTGGGGCATTGTGGTGAGTGAGAAGGAGCTGAGGGAACAATTCTGCTAACTGGACTCCTGCTTATAACCCTTGCTCCTCTAATATATAGTCTATTCTCCAAATATAATTCAGAACATGTTATTTCCCTACTTAAGACCTTCCAATGGCTCCTCACTGCCCTCTGGATAAAATCCAAACTGGGAAGTTTGCTGTATGCTTCCCTTAGAGCATGTGCTTATCCTTATACACAGTACATATCCCACTCTATTATAACAGTCTATTCCCTTGTTAGTTCCACCCTACAAACTGAAGACTGGTGGCTGTCCTCAGTATAAAGCATAGTGTCTGCCAAATAACACATACTCAACTAATATTTATATTTACTAAGTGAATAAATGTCTTTGGGGTACATGATGTAATGCAGTGCTAACACAAGTACAGTATGGAGTACTAGAACCCCAGACGGCCTCCGAAATAACACTTCAACAACAATTTACTATGAATGTTCCTATTAGTTCTTCTGACTCTGAAAAAAAAATCAATCTCTCTGAACCTCAGCCTCAAAATCAAATAAGTAACAGACATGGTTTTACAGAATCTTGATCTGGTTCAAAACCTGTACGCTTTTGATATCTAATCGATATATGACATTACTATAAGCTTTTGGTATATAATACAGTACTCTAAAGAAACTGTCAGCCCCATAGCAGCAAGGATAATATCTGTTTTATTCACCATTATTTTATCTAGCCCAATAATAACTATTAGTAGCTGCCATTTACTGAGTACTTACAATGTTAAAGGCAATGTTTGAACCCTTAGCAGGTACTCTCACTTTATCCTCACAACAATCTAATGTGGTGGATACTATAATTACATTTTACAAAAAAGGAAACAGAGGTACAGGAAAGATAGCACAAGGCCATGCAGCTAAAAAGTGGTGCAGGTGAGAGTCAACCCCAGGCAGTCTGGTCTCAGACTTGTACTCTCATCAACCTCTCAATGATTTTGCTACACTGTCTCTCAGAACCTGGCACTGAATTTTTCAGTGAATGAAAACTGAATATACATCTTCCCACTGCTAAACACCTATAGTCAATGCTGTATCAGGTACCATACTCCCATACACCCCTTAAAGACAAAGATCAAATGTCAGTCTACCTCTCCTCCAGAACGGACTATCATTTCATTTCACCTACTTTTGACCTGTTTTATCTCCCTCTTCTTTTCAAATGACTTCCCATTCCTCCAGAAGGCTCCCATACGTTTTTAGTTTCAGGTTGCAAATGACAGAACAAAAGCACACTTTCATAGCACTGTTTCCTCATACCGTTGAAGAGACACCCCCAAGCTTAATTGTTTCCACTGTGGTCCCTGAATCTTCAACAGCTGTCTTCTTCTCTGGAGGTATGGATGTTCCAGGCTCTCCAGCTGCTCTTTTATTTCCAATTCCTGACATCTTGGCATAAGATGATAGCTGAATTCCTGCAAGGAAAAAGGCAAAAAATGAGATAAGCTATGCAAGGAGAACAATGACTGAGAGACCACCTATGATGTAAACACTAGCAATTTTTCTGGCCAACCCTTTCACCTAGATCCATTAACTCCACACCAAGTACACCGTCCTCAAATTTCTCTTGAGAAAGAAAGAACCAAACTGTGGAGTAACAGTCAAGGTTGAATTTACACAACTACAGATTTCTAAATAGGATTCTGATAAAAAAATAAGATAATGGAAAAAGGGTGAAGAGGCCAAGAATAAATTTCAGAAATCTCACTTCAGGTTGAATTTACACAACTACAGATTTCTAAATAGGATTCTGATAAAAAATAAGATAATGGAAAAAGGGTGAAGAGGCCAAGAATAAATTTCAGAAATCTCACTTCCTGAAATGCCAAAATCAAAAAAGTACAGTTTGATTAGGACAGAAGTTATACAGTTGAAAGAATCACAGAGGTGATAGAGATCTGGGAAATGTCTAAGTCATTAATACTGGACAAGTCAATTATCATCTCTGAACCTCAGTTTTCTAAACTAGGAATAACAACAGTATATATACTTCCTAGCCTTTTACAAGGAAGAGATGACATAATCATAGAAAGAACTTAGCATAATGCCAGACACTCAGAAACACCAGCTCTTTTTTTTTTTTTTTTTTTTTTTTTTGGAGACTAGCCGGTATGGGGATCTGAACCCGTAACCTTTGTGTTATAAGGTTGCGCTCTAACCAACTGAGATAACCGGACAGCCTCTCAGCTCTCCTTTTAACGTTTGCAGTTTCTCCCCTATTTCCAAATGCTCTACCCACTATTTCCTGCAACCCTAGGAACTTAGACCTGGGTCCGAATCCCGGTTCAACCTGTTAGGGAGCCGTGTTGCCTTCAAAGAGTTAAGTTCTCCAAGAGCTTCAGTTTCCCATTTACAATGGAGACGAACGTATTTTTCGTCTGTCCTACCTGCCTCCCAGGGTTTCGGAACTCTAAGGAAGCAGAATGGAGGCTAAAGCACTTTGGCTACTTTAGGAAGCAACCCCGCCATCGCGGAGACTCCAGATTACTTCCAATTCAAGCTCCAGGAGACCCGGGTATCGGTGGCAGGAATTTGAGTCCGGGAGAGAGAGGAGACAGGAGCTGGGCAAGCGCCGCAATCCGACTCGTAAAGGGCCAAGGACCGCAGACTCCGGCGCGGTTAAATGCGGGCCCGGGAGATGGGGGCCCCGGAGTCGGAGAAGGCGAAGGTTCCCGAGGGCTCATCCAAAACCGTCGCGCCCTACCCTGTGATCTAACCTGGGTTCTTCCAACTCGCGCCGCCCGGAGCGGAACTCACGGCAGTTATTCACCAAGGTCCGCTCAGCCCTCCCACCTCTCACCCCTGACCCACGCCGAAGACGGAGAGAAGCTTCCGGGAGGCGGGGCCAGGGACAGGAAAAAGGGAAAGGATAGAGGAAGTCGCTTCAACCGTGCTCGGTGGACTGCGAGACCCAGCCGGGCGGAAGTGACGTAGGCGGGGGTGCTGTGCGGCCTGAGTAGGCGTCGCTGTCTAGCAAGGCTTGGTGGGCGTAGCAACCTCTCCTCGCAAAGACCTCCAGGAGTACCCGGATCTCTGACGCCCAACGGACAGCCCTGACTTTTGTTGACTTGTTGCCCTTTGCTACTGCGATCTGGTTTTTCTACTGAGATAAAGCGTCTTGTTTCGTTGCCTGTCATTGTGTCTCCCGTAACTCGTTCAGATTGCCCATTGGCTCGTCGTCCAGTACATCTCCGGGCAGCAAAGAACTAGCCTCAGATATGTCAGGAAAATCTCGGATGGAGCCCCTTCGTGCTGAAACGGAGAGGTCTGGAGAAAATCTGAGGGATTGGATGGATTTCGGGTCTTACAGGGAACTGTATTCAGCTCTATGTACACATTAGAACCATTTGGGGAGTTTAGGGTAGGGCTTGAACATAGACGCTTTTTACTAAAGGCGTTCCCCTCATCCCAGCCCGTCTCCACCTCCTAGGTTCTATTGTGCAAACAGGATTGACAACTACTGTTCTGTGATTTTGGGGAACAAGAAATTGGCCAGGGAAAAGGTAAGAAATGCAAATCAATTAGTACTCTGATCTCAATACTAGTCTATTTTAAGCTAATTAAGCATTAATGTTTAGTTAATGACAAAAAATTACTGCTATTTCCCACTCTGTTAAACTAAATGTCTGTGTTTTAATGATAGGAAGGTACTTAATCTAACGTATCAGTAAAAAGCTGTTGCCTCGCAGGACTGTGAAAAACTACCTCACGACATCAGATAACGGCCCAGAAGTGGAAGAATGATTGCTATATCTTAAAAAAAAAAAAAAAAAAAAAAAAAAAAGGGAAAAAAAAAAAAAAAAAAAAAAAAAAAAAAAAAAAAAAAGAAACGGAGAGGTCTGGAGAAAATCTGAGGGATTGGATGGATTTCGGGTCTTACAGGGAACTGTATTCAGCTCTATGTACACATTAGAACCATTTGGGGAGTTTAGGGTAGGGCTTGAACATAGACGCTTTTTACTAAAGGCGTTCCCCTCATCCCAGCCCGTCTCCACCTCCTAGGTTCTATTGTGCAAACAGGATTGACAACTACTGTTCTGTGATTTTGGGGAACAAGAAATTGGCCAGGGAAAAGGTAAGAAATGCAAATCAATTAGTACTCTGATCTCAATACTAGTCTATTTTAAGCTAATTAAGCATTAATGTTTAGTTAATGACAAAAAATTACTGCTATTTCCCACTCTGTTAAACTAAATGTCTGTGTTTTAATGATAGGAAGGTACTTAATCTAACATATTAGTAAAAAGCTGTTGCCTCGCAGGACTGTGAAAAACTACCTCACGACATCAGATAACGGCCCAGAAGTGGAAGAATGATTGCTATATCTTTAAAAAAAAAAAAAAAAAAGTGAGAAGAAAAGAAAGAAAGGAAAGAAAAAAAAAAGAAAAAATTTGGCATCTTTGGAAAAAAGGTGAAACCTAATGCACACTGAATTTCTGGTACTGTGAAGACGTTGGTCCCTGTTCCTGCTAGGTCTTATCTGTGAATGAAGTAAGTAGGAAAACAGTGTTTGTGGTGCCTGGTACTAGAACACCTTGCCTAACCTGGATAGAATTAACTGGCTCCAAATAGACTTAATGTTTTTTCAGTGAAGCAAAAGCCTGAGAACTCGTGTTTGGGGACCCACTTGCTGAAAAGCATTGAGTGAGACCATGACATTCATTCTCTGGTCTCCTTGGCAAGCCTTGCATCCACAGAACCACTGAATGGCAAGCAAGTTCTTCTACCTTGGAGTTTGTAACCTGCAGGTTCACAGACTGTATTTGGCCACCAGATACACGTGTTTATTTTGGACAGTATTAGTGGCCCTGTGTGGTTAAAAACAATGACAAAAACTGGCTTAGTTGCCAGAATTTAAAATACAGTATTTTACATAAAAATCCATATTATCAACCTCTCTTGAAAATGTCGAAGATCTAGCAACACCAGAGTTATATTCTTGCACAGTCACATTCCCAATAGCAGAGTAGCAGCTTCCTCTTTCACGAATGGGTCAGGTCATTCCTGTTTACCATAATTCCTGCTACTCCTTATCAGTTCCCCAGCACTAGTTGAGTTTCATTTGAGTATTATTACATGTGTGTTGTATTGTGATAAATCAGTCGCTGATACGAGGTAAGTGTCTCGTGGACATTATTGATTATCTACCCAGCATCCATTCTCCCTGTGAAAATTGATGAAATCACTTGCTGTCCAACCTAGACAAAATATGGCTTGGAAAGGTACAAAGGAGAGGAGCTCAAGCCTACTTTTCTGAGATAACGAACTGTTTCCAATGACCTTTAGGAAACCTACCAGAAATCCTTTCATGTCTTTCAACTCCTTCACACATCTCCTGCTTTGCATGTTCGCACATATTCTGTGCTGAGGTTTATCACTAGACGTTCTTTAGAACTGCAGTAATTCAGATAGGATGCCCCAAGAATAAACTGCCCAGTAACGGCATTTCCACCAATGAACTGATGAAAAATCTGACTTTAAGCCTCCAAAACCAGTGGACTCTGTTTCCAAGCAGATTACATGAACCTCTCCCTTTTTGCCACGAACAGCTTTCTCTTACCCTTCCCTCACTGAATGTATTCATGGCTGGCCTGAATAAACTCAACATATTTGGAGATCTTTTTCTCTAATGTGTTTTTTTTTTCTAGGTTAACACCCCCACCAGCACCTTCTTAACAGAACAGAACTAGGATTCTATTCATGAATCCATTTAGCCTCCTTGATTCCATATGCCTTGGGGGAAGCTGATTTTACACCCATCTCCAGAGATTGTTGTAATAATTCAGTCCCGTTCCCCAAGCAAAAGCCCTATTCTCCACAATGGACAGTTTAGTCAGAGTGAATTTCTTGGAATACTTAGGACTAAAGCAGTTTTTTTTGGGGGGGGGGGGGG